CCCCCCCCCCCCAAAAAAAAAAAACAACCCCAGTCTCAAACGGATGAGGTCTAGTCTAACAAACATTAAGAAAACAATTGAATTTATACTCCTCAGTACCTAACCAAAGATCGTGCATAACAGGATAGTTCGCTCAGCCAAAAAAGTGTCCACGGAAGTCCCCGCATTGGTTCTGATGGCGCTGCAGTCTTTTTTGAAGCTCTCTTTCGTTTCTTCAGAAGAAGAATAGGAATAGCACAGTTTTTTAGTTTCACTTTTGTTGTTTTTCACACAAGTAGGATAACTCTGATCGCAAAGTTCGCACTTTTTCGAAGAGTGCGCCACCGAATTTCGGGGACACTTTTTTTTTTTTAATTGGCTCAAAGAGAGGAGTGAACTATCTTGTTATACACGATCTTTGACATAACTAATACGCTAAAAGACAATCAGAAAAAAAAAACGGCGCACATTTCCGCTGTCCGATGGCCTACTTGTCCTGTTGGTTATCTCGGCACTGTTCCTCCAACACCTGGCCACTTCCCAAACACGGCTTTGCCACGCACGGGACAAATACTGGTGCTGGGCGGCTAGTAGGTTCCTGATTATTGAAAACTAAGAATCGTAGGAACCGACTTTGAACCCAATTACTTACTTTCTTATAATGTTATTTCTTCTGGTGGTTACCTGGTTGGCTCCCTACATCTTCAGTATTCAAGTATAACCTTGATTTCGGAACACTACGAAGCATCAACTTTTATTTATAAAAAAATAATTCTAAATAATAAAAGAAGATTTTAATGAACAGGTAACCGTTCGTTGGTTTACGTAAAAAGGAGTCGGAACTTTTCTTCCGTAGCATTAATCGTGGGAATCGGTTCCGGAATCGATTTTTCGCTCAGGTCTACCAAATACCACTTGGGACAATAATGTACTGTGTTTTTGTTGTTGTTGTTGTTTGTTGTTGGTGATATTTTTTTGTGCTTTTTTTCTCAAACGCTGCGCCGTGGTTCGAATTGTAACCGTTTCGAACAAGTACAGATTTTGAGAATAAAACATGTACATCTGAAATTATACGGAACATTGGCATTGACTGTAATAATATTTGGCTCTGGGTGAAGATTTTTTCACGGCATTGACAGCTGTGAAAAAAAAATCTGAAAGTCCGATGCGGATTTAGTACAATATAGCACGAAATTTGCTATGCGTATAATAACTGCACTATTGATGGTAATACTGCCACTTTGTATTTCGGAGGTCGGGTGTTATTTTAAGATCTTGGGTCCCTATTTCCAAATGATCAAATTCGGCACTTATATTATGACCTAGCTATGTATGTTGCAGTTTCAAGTACCTCAAAACTCGTACTAAATGCAAAATTGAACTGAAGAACCAAGGCTAAGGCCATTATAGACTATATAGTACTTTGTTAAAAATCATTTCTTTCATGTACATGGAAAAATCTTCCCTCAGAGCCCAGAAATGTTACAGTAAATGCCAATTATCATCATCTTCATCATCATCATCATCATTATCATCCAGTGCCAGATCTGCAACAGACATCGGCGATCATGGTTCTCCTTTAATTCCTTTGCTCGGATGCTCTACAAAAAGCTGTTTCCCTGATCTTTCCCTGATACCCATTTGTTTAGGTTCCCTAAGTATGTTGTTCTGGGCCTACCCCTGCCTCGTTTGCCTTCAATTTTGCCAGTGAGAGCTAGATGTTCAAGACCCTTGTCTATTCAGGTGTCCCCAAAACTGCATTTGTCGTTTCCTGATTGTTTTTAACATTGAGCGTCTCACGTGGGCTTCATCAAGCACTACCTCATTTGATTTCTTTTCCTTCAACGATACTTCTTACTCCTAAGAAACCACATTTCTGTTGCTTCTATTTTATTTTAATGCCAATCCTCCTTAGAATTTCAGTTTCATTTTACACTTTCGTTTTTGCGACTGGAATCCAATACGTTCAGATCGATTTACGCCAAAGCTGTAAGAATGCAGTTGGCACTGGATAATGCTGTCCTCGAAACTCTACCAGAAAACTCCAAGTAAAATTATACAAAA